CACACAGGGATTGGAAACCCAGAGAGTCAAAGCCTTTTCCTCAATCCTTTGTGGGAAAATTTAGCACCACCCTGAACTCATGTGGGTGCAAAGTTAGGAACACAAATCCTCTGGTTCAGACCAGAATCAGAAGTTTCGGGAGAGGTTTTGACCAAAGCAAAATTTAAAAAAAATATAAAAATAATTTGTTTTATAAACTTACATCGGTGCTACAACAACTGCTAGAGGATGATTAATCAAAGAGAAGCTAATTAGATGTGTTTATAATACAAAAAAGAAGGAGAAAACCCCAATTTGAAACCAGAAAAGGAACAAAGCAAGGAATGAATGACTAAAAGCAGAATGAAAGGAGGCTCACCAGTCGTGGTAGGTGGTGATGGCGATGCTGGGAGGGGGCAGCAGGGGCAGGGTGGTGGGTCTGCACACCGTGTCCCTCTCGGGGGTCCTGGCCCGCTCCGTCTGCCGCTGGGCCAGCGGTGGCAGCTGCAGGTTCCCCGAGCAGCACCTGCGGCCTCTCCACAGGTCAATGCCCAGGGTGTGGCTGGAGGTGCTGAAGGATTTGCTGAGCCCACATTCCAGGTAATCCAGGGAGTTCTGCAAACAGAGAGACCTCTGAAATCCCCAGTTCTGCAAACAAAGGATTTCCTTCATGAGGGTAAATCACACTCAATTCTCCAGCCAGAGCTAACCTGAGAGATGAGAACTACACAAATCCAGAACTAAATCCTACAAACAAAGGATTTCCTCCATGAGGAAAAAACATGGAGACAGAACTATCCCAGGAGATGAGAACTCCACAAATCCAGAACCTTAATCCTAACCCACAAATCCAGAACTAAATCCTGCAAACAAATGATTTCCTCCATGAGGGTAAAACTCAATTCTCCAGCCAGAACTACCCGAGGAGTTGAGAGCTCCACAACTCCAGAACTAAATCCTGCAAACAAAGTATTTCTTCCATGAGGAAAAAACATGGAGACAGAACTATCCCAGGAGACGAGAACTCCACAATTCCAGAACTAAATTCTACAGATTATTTTCTCCATGAGGGTAAAACTCACTCAATTCTCCAGCCAGAGCTATCCCAGGAGATGAAAACTCCACAAATGCAGAACTAAATCCTGCAAACAAAGGATTTCCTCCATGAGGATAAGCCACAATTCTCCAGCCAGAACTATGCCAGGAGATGAGAGCTCCACAACTCCAGAACTAAATTCTACAGATTATTTTCTCCATGAGGATAAACCACGCTCAATTCTCCAGGCAGAACTATCTCAGAACTAAATTCTACAAAGGATTTCCTCCATGAGGATAAAACACAATTCTCCAGCCAGAACTATCCTGGGAGATGAGAACTCCACAACTCCAGAAGCTGGCACAGCCTGATTGTTTTTTATTTTATCATCCCTGAAAGCAGGAAAATTCTCACTCTGGTGAGTGGTGCTCCATTATCAGAAAATCACAGGTTGGGAAAGACCTCCAAGGTCAATAAGCTCATGGAGCTGTGCAAAACTTGGGATAAGAGTGGAAAACAACATTTATTTATTGGAAAAGTGCCCCAGGATACCCAAACTCTTATTTTCCACTCTTCCTACACATTCCAAGTGATTTCCCATTTTTTTGGGAGACCTAGGACAAACCAGCCAGTTAATTCCATTATTCCAAATGGAAACAATTCCCCAGGGAATGGGAACTGGAGGTTAATTATTAGGGAATTACGGTGATTATTAGGGTAATAATGAAATAAAAAATGCATCACCACAGCAGGTGTTGAGCACTGAGATTTTTGCACATAAAAAAGGTGGAATCCAGAGCACATATTCCATAAATCCCAGCAACATTCCCTGTTCCCTGCCCACAGTACACTGACCAAAAACCACCAGAGCAAAAAAAACTGGACAAACTCCTCCAAACCTTTCCCAGGAATTGAATTGTTCATTTTGTAATGTGCTGCTCTTATTTTCTGCTTCTTATCTAAAAATTCTCTGAGATGTTCCATCAGCAAAGCCAAACCATATTTATTTATATTTATATATTTATTATATATTTATTTATATTTATATATTAATATATACATATTTATATTTATATATTTATTAATATTTACATATTTATTTATAACCATATTATTTATATTTACCAAAGAAGACAAAATCAACTTTTTAGCTCGTTTTCACGATGTAAAAAAAAGGAAAAGGAAAGAAAAATAAGGGAAAATAAACTTTCAGCAGGAACTCACCTCATCTGCAGTCACTGTCATGACACTTCTGCTTTTCTTCATTATCGAGATTCAAGTGCAGCCAGGGATAAAAAAACTTCTGGTAAACAGAATTTCTTCAGAGGGGA